AAAAAATGTATATGCATATACATATGTATACATATACATATTGTATATACATATACATATGTATACATACACATATATGTATATGTGTGTATATATAAAAATATATTAAAAAATTATACACACATACACACACACCTCTCTTTCCAAGGATGCTTTGAGGGGTTTTCCAGTGACAGGTTTCTGGCATGCCTGGGTCAAAATGGTCCCAGAGATGCAAAAATAAGGGAGTTTTAAAAAGATACTGGGTTGAAAACGGTTGCAGCCTCTTCCAGGACTCCCTCCTTCGCCCCTTTTTTAAAAATTGCAGACAGTGCTTGTTAGTTCTGAAGCCGCTGAGGTGTAATCGGAAATGTGGAGTTCACAGCAGCTTCTGGATTCACTTCTGAAGGATATCTGCAGTGCCCTCTAAGATGATCACAGCAAAGCACGTTGTTTGGGTTTAGGGCAGTTTGGAAACCACAGGATCAAAACTTGCAATGTTAGTCTGGAATCAGAAATTTGCCTTGTAGGTTACAGGGAAAGGTAAGCACTCCGAAACATGCACAGATGCAGTTGTTTTCTTAGACAGCGAAAAGAACATGCAACATACTTTGGGGGCACATTGAATGAATTCAGTATGAATTTCATGGATCCAGTCCACTTTTTCAGACAGTTATAGGACTCCTTTTTAATTGGCCAGAATCCCATGACCAGTTTACACTTGCATGAGGGAATTCTTCTAAGTCTTGGTGGCAAGTTTCCACTTGTTAACAAGGTAATGTTGACATGTCTTGAGTGCCTTCTTATGCTTTAGGGTGCATGCTCATGAACACAATCAGGACCTAGGCATCAAGGGGTAATGTAATGCCAAAATGTATGAGGGCTTCATTACACAAGTGTAATGATCCTATCTGGTGGGGTGTAGTAGGTAGAGTGATGGACTAGCAGACCTGAGTTTGAATCCCCACCTGGCCATGGAAACTCACCAGGGGAGAGGAATTGGTAAACACACTTCTTGAAACCCCTATTAGGGTCACTATAAGTCAGCTAGCACTCGATGCCACATAATAGCCAATCAATAATAGGATCCTGGCCTTTATTAACAGATTTCAAGGCTGTTTTCCAGTTAATTCCCCAGATTCAAGGGCTAAGCCATATTTTTAAATTAAGTCCTCTCTCTGCTCATAATGGTCCAATCCTAGATTCTCGGATGCTGGTGGAAAGGACTTCTAGAAAATATGGAAAGGAACTGGTACATCTACTGAAAAATAAAGGGAAACTGTAGCCCAGGATGTAGAAAATGTAATGCTGTTTATTCCAGTATAAAATGCTAGATATAGTTCAGCCTATCAGCCTTCTTCAATGGCATCATTGTTGTTGTTGTTGTTGTTGTTGTTGTTGTTGTTGTTGTTGAATGCTGTTTATTCCAGTATAAAATGCTAGGTATATTTCAGCTTATCAGCCTTCTTCAATGGCATCTTTATTATTATTATTATCTAATTCTCTTTTTTTGTGTATTTGTTTTGTGACCAGCTCCATTAAATCAATTCACTCTTCCGAGCAACTAACCACTGTATCTTGGATGTTTATATGCAGTTCCTCTGACTGCTCCATACGTTCGTGTCTCAGTTATATGTTTTGTTCCAGCAAACTGCCATGTTTTAACTACCCTTGTTGACACAGAGTGTTTGTCCTGGTGTGATGGTAATGCTCTCTTTGGGGGAAAAAAATCCCTTCTGATAGGAACTGGTTGACCAGCTGTATCGTTTCCGAGACCATTATTTCGAGACCCATAGTGTGGAAGATGCTGGGAAGAAGCAGCAAGATGTACGGGAGGAAATGGAGAAGACTCTTCAGCAAATGGAAATGATAGAAGGTAATTCCTACAGAACCTACTCTCTTTCTCTTACCTCTCTCCTTCCTCTTGCATTGTCTGTTTGTTCTGTGGCATTCTTTCAACCATTTGAAGCCTTTCCCATGAGAACATTTTTGTTGTTTAGTCATTAAGTCGTGACCCCATGAACCAGAACACGCCAGGCCCTCCTGTCTTCCACTCCCTCCCGGAGTTGTGTCAGATTCATGTTGGTCACTTCGATGACACTGTCCAACCATCTCGTCCTCTGTCGTCCCCTCTCCTCTTGCCTTCACACTTTTCCAACATCAGGGGCTTTTCCAGGGAGTCTTCTCATGAGATGACCAAAGTATAGGAGCCTTAGCTTCAGGATCTGTCCTTCTAGTGAGCCCTCAGGGTTGACTTCCTTCACACTGGATAAGTTTGTTCTCCTTGCAGTCCAGGGGACTCTCAAGAGTCTCCTCCAGTACCACAATTCAAAAGCATCAATTCTTCGGCGGTCAGCTTTCTTTATGTCCAGCTCTCACTTCCATACATCACTACTGGAAAAACCATAGCTTTAACTATGCGGACCTTTGTTGGCAAGGTGAGGTCTCTGCTTTTTAAGATGCTGTTAAGGTTTGTCATCGTTTTCCTCCCAAGAAGCAGGCGTCTTTTAATTTCATGGCTGTTGTCACCATCTGCAGTGATCACGGAGCCTAGGAAAGTAAGATCTGTGACTAAGTTTATGAGAACATAGAAGAGCCTTATTGAATCATGGAGCCCAGGAAAGTAAGATCTGTCACTATGTTCACGAGAATCTAGAAGAGCTTTATTGAATCGGGCCACAAATCTCTCTCCAGTGTCCTGTTTTCCCCAGTGGTCAACTAGATGCCTGTGAAAAATCTAGCGGCTCCTGGAGTGATCTAAAACCTTTTGCTGTAGTGTCACAGAACATCCCCTGCCCTAGCTGCTCAGAAATGTCCCACAAGGGCTGCTTCCCCTTTCTGCAATTGGCTACCCTTTTATAACTCCCAGAATCTACTGCCCGAAGCATCTTCTTCAGTCTATCTAATGGCAGGGCTGGCCTTGGGCAGGACATGAGAACAATAGATTTCCACTCCTGTTTTTCTTTGGTGTTGAAAGGCAAGCTATATGGAGGTGGTGTAGCTGTTCCCAACTGTTGTTAGTTTTACCCTCCATAAAAATACATGTGCTTCTAACTGAAGTAATATTTTACTGGATTTTGGAGGGGGAGGATTCTAAGTAGCTTAATTTCCAAGACAGAATCAGAGCTTAACTGATTGGTTATTCATTGGATGAATGTTGTAGTTTCATAGTGCAAGCACATTATCTGTTTTCCTCTTCTTTTTTTCTTTTCCCCCCTCCCTTCCCTACTGCTAGATGGGTCTAAGGGAAGAGCTCCTATGTTGATGCTGAAGGGGAAAGCATTGAATGTGTTGCCAGATTATAATGCCCAAGCCGAAGAACTGCTCTCTAAAGCGGTCAAGTTGAATCCTGAACTCGTAGAAGCCTGGAATCAGTTAGGGGAGGTTTACTGGAAAAAGGGTGATATCTCTGCTGCTCATACCTGCTTTTCTGGAGCACTCAGCCACGTAAGTCTCTCCCACGTCTTCTGTGAAGGGATTCAAGATTGAAAACTGTTCTGAACTCTCTCTTGGATTTCTAATGGCAATTTTAACACCCATCTTTAGGAAATCAAGTCATTCTTTTCCAGATAGGCATACATCATAGGGATATAATGAGTACAGTAGGACCACTGTATCCACTGGATCAGTACCCACAGTTTCACTTATCCACTGCATGAAAATATGAAATTAAAAAAACTTAGAAACATGTGTTTCCATGGTGTGTCACGAGAATTGGCCACTAGAAGGAACCAGAGGCTATGTGAGATGAATTATATACAGTGGTGCCTCGCTTAACGATAACCTCGTTAAATGACGAAACCACGACGATGAAGTTTTTGGGATCACTTTTGCGATCACAAAATGATGTTTTGATAGGGAAAAATGGCTTAACGATGATCGGTTCTCTGTAGGAAACTGCCACATTCTGTGCAGCTTAATGTTGTTTCCAGCATATCCTGTGCAGGAAAGATCCCATTCTCTATAGGAACTGTAAGAGTCCTACATAGGGCTGGGTGTTTCTTTTGCCCTTTTTAAGTCAATCCTGCAGAGGAAAGATCCTGTCCAGCATAGAAAGTTTAGCAGTCCTGCCCAGCTTAGTGTTTCTCCTTCCTTTTACGTGTGGATCCTACACAGGAAAGAGAACGATTCTCAGTTGGATATAATCCTGCACAGTTTGGGATTTCTTCGAGAAAACATGACCGCAAAATGTCGGAGAAACCTCATGTGATTCTTGGGGGAAATAATTTGTGCAGAGAAACTTTACAGCTAGGGAAAAAAGAGTGATTTCCCCCCCTCTCTGTTTCCGTCTTGAGAGCCAGAGGCTGTGAGATCCACATCCCTACCCCAAAGGAGGATTTCTTGGGGGAAATAATTTGTGCAGAGAAATTTTACAGCTAGGGAAAAAAAAAGATTCCCCCCCTCTCTGTTTCCGTTTTGAGAGCCAGAGGCTGTGACATCCACGTCCCTACCCCAAAGGAGGATAGATTAAAGTTCCCTTTGACATTTAGTCCAGTTGTGTCCGACTCTAGGGCATGGTGCTCATCCCCGTTTCCAAGCCATAGAGCCAGCGTTTGTCCAAAGACACTTTCCGTTGTCACGTGGCCAGCGCGACTAGACATGGAACACTGTGACCTTCCCACCGAGGTGGTACCTATTGATCTACTCGCATTTTAACATGCTTTCGAGCGGCTAGGTTGGCAGGAGCTGGGACAGGCAGTGGGAGCTCACTCCGTCGTGTGAATTCGATCTTACGACGGCCGGTCTTCTGACCTTGCAGCACAGAGGCTTCTGCAGTTTAACCTGCACCTCCCAAAGGAGGATACAGGGGAGCAAATGATTGATCTTTTATTTTGACTGGGTTGGAGTTCTCATACACTGCGGAAGTCCTGCTGGGCAGCATTCCCATTTTCAACCATGCCTCCCTCTCTCCCCACTCTTTCCCAACCCTCCCTTGTCCTTCTCTTCAGTGCAAGAACAAAGTCTCCTTGCAGAATCTCTCCATGGTGTTACGGCAGCTACGCACAACCTCTCCCGACGAGCACGCGCGCAACGTGATGGACAGCGTGCGGCAGGCCAAGCTGGCTGTTCAGATGGACGTGCGTGATGGCCGCTCCTGGTGTGAGTCTAGAGCTGGCTCTCGCTTGTCCAGTCCAGAGGTGGGCTGGGATGGAAGGCAGAAAGGGGGGAAAGGGGCTCAATTCTGTTCTCTTTCTTCCACAGATGTCCTCGGCAATACCTACCTCTCCTTGTTCTTCAATACAGGACAGAATCCCAAGATCTCACAGCAGGCGCTGAGCGCCTATGCCCAAGCAGTAGGTGCTGGAGGGAACTCTAGAAAAAGCGGAGGTGTGGGGAGAAGGGTCTGGTGGGTCTCGGTGAAGCTTATGCTGGAGATTTTAGATTGCTGGGAGATGGCCCCAGCGGGAGCTAATGCTTGAGCCGTCCTGGAAAGTGTTGAGTTTGGATAGCGGGAGATCCGGGTTTGAATTCTTCTCAGCCACTGACTGGGTTAGCCAGGCGAGTCTCGTTCTCGCAGACCTTGTCTTAGATGGGCAGCAGAAGGAGTGACGGAATCCCAGGCACGCAAACCAGGTGGTGTCACTTTCAGATTGTAGGTGGAGGAGGGTGTGCTGTTGAAAGTTTTCCTACCTTCGAAAATAATAAGAATTGACAGTCTTTGCTGCAAGTCATAATGCGCATGTCCGGGAATGTTTCAGCTGGTATCTAAATTCAGCTTGCAAGTCCTTGCATGGCTGTTGCTATTGTTGTACAGAGTGGAGTGTGCTAAAAAGCCCTTTCTTACTACGGGCTGCGGGATGTCTGAAGATACTACTACCTCACTCTTCTGGGTGTATATCTCCAGCTTCAGTCTAAACTATCTCGCTGACTTGTCAGGAGGCTTAAGCAGAAGAGAATGCATAACTTTCTGTGTTCTTTAAGTTGCCCTTAAGTTTATCTGCTTAATTCAGTGGTTGCCCAGTTTATTGGTGAACAAGGGTCTAATCTTCATCAGCAGTTACCTGCTGATTTTTGTAATCCAGATCTTTAGGCTGTTTCTGAGGAAATTCAGAAATGGTGTTTGCTGGGGGAAAATACGGAGTAGAAGAGAGGCGTGAGATGGTTGGTCACCCTGCTTCTAACATGGTTTCCAGCTTGGTCCCTATAGGCCCATCTCCATACGCATTGTTATTTGCACAATTGTATAGCACACACATGCACCTCCTTGTGAAGTAGTTAGTTTTGGAGCCAGCGAGCAAGAGTCGGTAGAATTCTATTCCCTGTGTGGGGAGAAATGTTGGGGAGGGGGGGTAACAGATGTTGAGGGTTAGTCCTTCTCCCCTGCTGCCCTCTCCCATTCCTTCCTCTGCTTTGGAAAAGGCAGTCATGCTGGGAAAGGTGGAAGGCAGGAGGGAAAGAGGAGGACGAAATACGAGATGAATCGAGTCCCTGAAGGAAACGACAGGCTTGAGGTTGCAAGAGCTGAGCAAGGCGGTTGAGGAGAGGACATTTTGGAGGTCAGAAGACGAGGGCGACGGCAGGAGGGAAAGAGGAGGACCAAATACGAGATTGACCCCCTGAAGGAAATGACAGGCTTGAGATTGCAAGAGCTGAGCAAGGCGGTTGAAGAAAAGACATTTTGGAGGTCAGAAGTCGAGGGCGATGTGATGGCACACAACAACAACAGGGAAAAAATAATCCTGATTCCAGTGGAAGTGTGTCTTTGAGCCTTATTGTAGATTTGAGGGAAGGCCATGGTCTAGATCACTGGTTCTTAACCTTGGGTTACTCAGGAGTTTTGGACTGCAACTCCCAGAAGCCTTCACCACCAGCTGTCCTGACTGGGGTTTCTGGGAGTTGCAGTTCAAAAGCATCCGAGTAACAGGTTAAGAACCACTGGTCTAGATCATGGGTTGCATCTAACTGCAGGTTCCTCGTATGGACTACATGGTGCCTCTGTGTGTGCGTGCGTGTGTGTGTGTGTGTGCGTGCGTGCATGCGTGCGCGTGTGTGTTGTATCCTTTTCCTGCTTTGCCTGCAGCACTAGGTCAACCAGGCTGGGAGCAGAACTGGATAGGTGCTCTTTCGATAAGATTGAGGTAGTGCTGTTTGAGAACAGCCTTTGCTCAAAATGAGAGGAACTGGGGAGCGGGGTTTCGTGCTTTATTTTATCTTGGTCTTCGTCCCGTAGGAGAAGGTCGACCCCATGGCTTCTTGCAACCCAGATCTCCATCTCAATAGAGCCACGGTGAGTCAGTGGGACTGGAAAGAGGCTCGGAGGGATATAAGATTGGGTTATCCAGGGAAACTCTGCAAAGTGCGCTAGAGCAGTGGTCCCCAACCTTGGGCCTCCAGATGTACTTGGACTACAACTCCTAGAAGCCTTGCTTCGTGCCCAAGGTTGGGGACCACTGCGCTAGAGATTTCTGGAGGAGCCGTCAATTCCTCTTGAGTAGAATAACATGCAGAGCGATCATCTCTGCTTAAACTATCAGCAGTTTCCGTCTCTCTTTTTTTTTGCCCTTCCTCTGATGGTCTTGCTTCGCGCCCATCGGTGGCTGCAGTGTCTTGTTTCCATAGTAGTTTGTGGTGTACTAATCATCCACAACTCAGACCTGTAGAGTTGGAAGGCACCTTATGGATCATGGAGTCCAGTCTCTGTCAGGGAGGCCAAGTGCGGAATCGAACACCCAACCTCTGGCTCTGCAGGCAGATAACTAACTTGCTGAGCTATACAGCCAGGCCCATGGGGAGGATTTTTTTCTTAAACCTAAATATTTCTTCGGCAACTCCCGGAGATTTCCAGCTCTGGTGTTTTGTTTTGTTTTTGCATTCGGGGGGGGGAGTTGCGGGTATGGATAATTTATTCCTCTTGGACAATAGATCCTACCTTGGGAGTTCTGCCTAGCTTACACAGACCTCAGTGTGGCATTTCTTGGAGAAAAAGTTTAACTTGGAAGGTTTGAGGTTTAGCTAGGCCTAGCTCTGCTTTGCTTCCTGTTCAGAAAGAGTGCTCCCATAAAGCACTGGGGCAAAAACAGGAAGTCTGGGTGAAGCTAGGCCTAGCTAAATCTCAAAGCTTTCCAGTTTAGGCCTTTTGTCTCAGATGAGTCACCGTTTGCTTTCTGTAAATTGTGATTAAGTGAGGTAGAGCTCCCAGCATGGGGAATTATGGGATTTGTAGTCCAAAAAATCTGAAAATCCAATCTAGTTGAAAATCCTACCAGTAGGGCTCCTCAACCTTGCACCCAAGCAAAATAGGACGGGTTTCTTTCCAGTTTCAACCCCTCCCATGCCACTATGGTTTACCATTTCTGAGTCTACAGTGTCCCTTTGAGGTCTTGCGGAAACAATAATTTTGTCCTGTCCCAGTCAACGGACACCATTGGGTTTGGGAGAAAAGAATGAGAGATGCAGCTCCTTAATGGTGTCCGAGACACAGGTGGTTTGAAGACTATCATGGGGGGAACTCGTCTGCTTCTTCCATCTTACGGTCTTGTATTAAATCCACCCAAGTTTAGAAATTTTATCTGGCCTTTTGGGCTCCCTGTCCGGCTTTCTCCCGTCTGCTTCCTCTCCTGCCAAATTCTAGGAATGTCTCCTTGCCAGGAAACTTGACACCTGTCCCTCACCTGTCCCCTTTCTCTCTGTTCTTTTTTTTGGGGGGGGCAGCTGTATAAATACGAGGAAAACTACATGGAAGCCCTGGAGGGATTTGCGCGGGCTGCAACCCTTGATCCGGCTTGGGCAGAACCACGCCAAAGAGAACAGCAGCTGATTGATTTCCTCGACAGGCTAACTGGCCTCCTTGAAAACAAGGTATTTACAGGAGTGAGACTGATCTTGTTGTGCTACCTTTGCTTTTGCCCAAGCAGGACAATATCGTTTCCACCAGCGGGCCTCATCCTGCTTCCTTCTTCTTCTTTTGTCCCCACCCCACCCCTGCTGCTTGTAGGGAAAGGTGAAAGGCAAGAAGCTGCAAAGCATGCTGGGAAGCCTGCGTACCTCCCAGCTGGGCCCATGCGGAGACGGGCACTACCAAGGGCCCTCTGGTCAGAAAGTGGAACTGGAGCGGCGGCCTCTAAATGCTTTGCGACCTGGTGTCAACTCTGGCACTGTTGTGTTGGGAAAGGTGCTCTTCAGCTTGACTACAGAGGAAAAGGTGCCCTTGTGAGTATCCGGTCATCCTTGGGACCATAAATGTCTCATTATGTACAGTGGGACCACCGTATTCTCAGGATCAGTACCTGCGGTTCCATTTACCCACTGCCTGAAAATATGTTTTTTTTTAAAACAAAAATGTGTGTTTCCATGGTGTATTGCCAGAACTGGCCACTAGAGGGCCAGAGAGACTATGTTATGTGTAGTGTTTATATACCTGTGCTTTTCGGCATCCACAGAGTGGGATGCTTGGAACCCATCCCCCAGGGATACTGAGCTCCTGTTGTATATTGTTTCTTGCTTTGTTGTTGTTTAGTCGTTAAGTCGTGTCTGACTCTTTGTGACCCCATGGGCCAGAGCACGCCAGGCCCTCTTGTCTTCCACTGCCTCCCAGAAATTGATCAAATTCATGTTGGTTGTTTCGATCACACTGTCCAACCGTCTCATCCTCTGTTGTCCCCTTCTCTTGCCTTCACTCTTTCCCAACATCGGGGTCTTTCCCAAAGAGTCTTCTCATGCGGTGGCCAAAGTATTGGAGCCTCAGCTTCAGGATCTGTCCTTCCAGTGAGCACTCGGGGTTGATTTCCTTCAGAATGGATAGGTTTGTTCTCCTTGCAGTCCAGGGGATTCTCAAGAGGCTCCTCCAGCACCACAATTCAAAAGCATCAATTCTTCGGTGGTCAGCCTTCTTTATGGTCTCATTTCCATCCATTGCTACTGGAAAAAC